CGAAGGCATTGTTAATATTTCCTAAGGTTGTATCCCCTTATTGTATACGTGTGGTTTGTAAGAGGGAGGAGAATGAGCTTCAGTGGTAAACGGGTGGGACTAATGAAAATGCAAACTGTATCATAATGCCTTCGGAGTCTGCCATTGTTTATTATTAATTTTTTAAACTAAACACATCATCATCCGGTCCTATACTAGCCTAAAGCTCAATAAAATCGAGACTATTTTTCAGATTATATATTTTTGAATAGAACTTATCTGTGTTCAACCTTCTTGTCTTTTTTCTTCTTGAGAGTACTTTGCTATCCCTAATGACCAATTCATCAACTTTGCGGATTACAGACGATGATCTCTATCGTCACACCTCACAGTATGAGTTATGGTCATTTTCTTCTACTGCATTAGCCGCTACTCGTATGAGCGCAAACCAGGAAGGGCTCGAAAGAGCTCATCAAAAGTTCCGTAGCAAAAACTTGGATCCATCGCAATGTCAGGGTCTAACGGCGAAGGAAGAATATTTACTGATTCTCTATTATTGTACCAAATGCCAAGATCTGGCCAGTTTTTTCTCAATGCCTAGCAAGGTTAAAGCCACAGCTATTGCTTTTATCAAACGATTCTATTTATCTAATAGTGTGATGGACTATAACCCCAAGGATATTCTCTATACATGCCTTTTCCTGGCAACCAAATCAGAAAACTGTTTTATTTCAATCAAAAAGTTTTCAGAGACAATCCCGAAAACTACGCCAGATGGTATTCTCAGTTTAGAATACGTCATTTTACAGGGTCTTAAGTTTACCTTAGCAGGTTATCACCCGTTTAATCCTCTTTATGGGTTTTTCCTCGATATGCAAAAGATCTTGGCCGATGATTATGATCAGGCTCAGTTTGAAACTCTACATAGTCAAGCGACACATTTTGCCGACGAGTCTCTTTTTACAGATGCTGCTTTTTTGTATACACCACCCCAGATTGCTCTTGCTTGTTTGTTCTTAGCTGACGAGAGCGCTACCATTAAATACTTATCGGTTAAGATGAACGCCAATCCTAATCTACTAAGTACTTTGAATCACATTGTTCGTGAATGCAAGGATTTAATAGCAACTAATGAGAAGCCTACTGTGGAAACGGTTAAAGTTTTAGCTAAGCGTTTGCATTTCTGTAACCCAGCTAGCCACCTCTTGGCCAAGCGAAAATTAGAAAGGGTAGATAGTTCTAGTTCTGCTAATCGTACAGAAGAGGCCACTAAACGCTTAAAACTAGAGAACGGAGATAACGTAAGAGCTTCTCCTATACCAGCTATACAGAATTTGACAACGGTTATAGATCAAAGTGATTCTTCAGTAAATAATTCTGCAGTTAACACGCCACAATAGGGATAAATTGTATAGACCACCTTTTCAACCGGAAAACGAACCGAAACTTCAATTCCAGAATCATGTACTGTAGATTAGATATGTATTTTTATACGATTATATATAACATATTAAACTTTTCCGGTTCACCGTTTTAAAAACTGGTATTATCCCTTAAGCTTTTTAACCAATATCAGTTGGTAAAAACTCTTGCACATCCTTAACTCTTTCATCCAGGTTATTGCGAAGACAGCAGCATTAGGCTTTACCATTATTTTTGAGCAACAGAAGTGGTAATTAGTATACTTAAATTTTTATTTAAAATATTATTGACTGAAATGTGAAAGTAAACCTGAATTATAAAAAATGGAACGAGGAGAAAGTAATATTTTAATTAACTAAATAATGTAAGTCTTTTTTCTTAAAAACATATAATTCAAAAATAAAAACGAAATTTTAAGGGTAAAAGATTTAAGTTGATTAAAGATAAGTAACTTAGAAAGCAGCGACGAAAGCTTGGGTAGCGTTCTTAAGCTTTTCCATGTTTTCAGGGGTGATAGAACCTTGGTTACCAATAGCTTCCAAAAGTTCGGATTCGTTAGCTTGCAAAGAGGCGATGAATTCGGTTTCGAATTGACCAATCTTAGCAACGGGGATGTTATCGAGGAAACCATTGACACCGGCGTAGATAAGAGGAACTTGTTCTTCAGCAGCCATAGGGGAGAATTGCTTTTGCTTTAAGATTTGAGTAAGACGTTCACCACGGGCAAGAATTTGCTTGGTGGAGGCATCAAGATCGGAACCAAATTGGGCGAAAGCGGCGACTTCTCTGTATTGGGCTAAGAAAAGCTTAAGAGAACCAGCAACTTGCTTCATGGCCTTGACTTGGGCGGCGGAACCGACACGAGACACGGAAAGACCGACGTTAATAGCAGGTCTGATACCCTTGTAGAAAAGTTCAGCTTCCAAGAAAATTTGACCATCAGTAATGGAAATAACATTGGTAGGAATATAAGCAGAGACATCACCACCTTGGGTTTCAATGACGGGAAGAGCGGTAAGGGAACCGGAACCGAACTTAGCGGACATCTTAGCGGCACGTTCTAAAAGACGGGAGTGAAGGTAGAAAACATCACCGGGGTAAGCTTCACGACCAGGGGGACGTCTAAGTAAAAGAGACATTTGTCTGTAGGCAACAGCTTGCTTAGATAAATCATCGTAGATGATAAGAGCGTGCTTACCGTTATCTCTGAACCATTCACCAATGGCGGTACCGGTGAAAGGGGCAAGGTATTGAAGAGGAGCGGCTTCGGAGGCAGTAGCGGCAACGATGATAGAGTACTTAAGGGCATCGTTTTGTTCAAGGGTTTGAACTAATTGAGCAATGGTAGATCTCTTTTGGCCAACAGCGACGTAAACACAGTAAAGCTTCTTGGACTCGTCAGAACCGTTGTTCCATCTCTTTTGGTTAAGCATAGCATCGACGGCAACGGCGGTCTTACCAGTTTGTCTATCACCAATGATAAGTTCTCTTTGACCACGACCAATAGGGACAAGGGCATCGACGGACTTAAGACCGGTTTGCATGGGTTCGGAAACGGAAGTTCTGGGTAAAATACCAGGGGCCTTTAATTGAGCTCTGGATCTTTCGGTAGTTTCAATGGGTCCCTTACCATCAATGGGGTTACCAAGGGCATCGACAACACGACCGAGCATAGCAGGACCAACGGGGACATCAACAATGGAACCGGTACGCTTGACGGTTTCACCTTCCTTGACAAGTCTATCGGAACCGAAAAGTACGACACCGACTTGACCAGCTTCTAAATTAAGGGCCATACCCTTGACACCGGAAGAGAATTCGACTAATTCTTCGGCCATAATGTTGTTTAAACCGAAAACACGGGCGATACCATCACTAATTAAGAATAAAAAGTATAAATAGTTAGAATATTTCGGTGTTCATTTTCTGAGATAAATAGTGGCAAAAAATTATGCATTTTATTGTTCACTTCAATCGCTAGTTGTCGTTCACCATTCGCCGTGAACTCATCCGCTGCCGAGAGAAAAAGGGTGGAGAGCCAATGTGTGAGTAAATCTGGGAATGGTCGGGCAGCACCTCCGGTTTCCCGACAGGTAAAAGCCAAGCTCGCACAACGTGAAGAAATGAGCGAGCAATCAACCGAATAGCAATTGATATCCAGTTGTAAACCAGGCATTAGGCACAAAGGCCATAAGGGACTGAGATCCGACGATTGGTGAACTAAAACTACAATTGAGCAATGGTGGGCGCCAAGGAGAAAACAAGACATAATAAACTTACCCAACGGAAAGGACTCTACCGGTTTCATTTAAGTTAGATTCACCAGAGACACCTCTGATACGCTCTTCAAGAATGGAAGAGACTTCGGTAGGGGCAGCCTTGGCGGCGTAACCACGGGTGGCAACTTGGGTCTAAACAAAGAGTCAGCATGGAGCAAAACAAAAGAACTGAACGAGAAGAGGACTAAACATATGAACAGCAGGGTTCGATGAAGCTGGATGGTTGTTGAACAGACAGGGCATTTAAATGTCTCAGGACCATGGGAGAGAGTAGAGCCAATGTAGTGAATAGACATTTGGGCCCACCTCCTTTCCATGACCCCGGAATTCAAACACCCTTAAGCTCCGACCGGTTCCGTAGGCAGATTGTACCGGACCAATTCAGCCTAGACCAACGACAATATCGACATATTCTGCAATCTCAATTGATTGGGCAGTACGGGTTACTTACGGGAAGGGATCTTCTGGCAGCAAGAGCACCGACACGACGGGTAGTTTGACGGAGAGCAGAGCGGAACATTGTTATATCTTTGTTGAACTGTACGTTCGAGAGGAAGGAGAAAAATTGCGAGGAAAATTATAAAATGAGGTGTCTGGTCCCTGGGAGGCCAGCTTAGTCACCGGTCGTTCTCACGTCTGCGCATGCGGGCTGAAACTGACTATAGCGATCGCTGCCCCGGAACGTTTGCCGATATCGGGACCACCGGGTTCAACGTCCCTGGGCTGGAATCAGAGTAATACAGGCTCAAAAAGTGGACTGTGGTATAGCGAGTTTAATTATTCAAATTATGTTCTAGTCTTGGTCTTTTGGACCGCCCGTTTCGTGTTTGGCGTTTGGGTTTTTGCACTCTTTTAGTGTTTGTATCGGCACGTTGGGGCTCCTCGGAGCTGCAATCTCACTCCGGGATCCAATAAAAGAGGAGGATCGATCTGCGGTTAATATTAACCATTTTACAGTTACTTAACCCCACCTACAAGTTCCAAATTAACTGATTTTGTGCCGATTTTTGATTTTGTGCCGATTTTTGATTTTGTTCTAATAAAGAAAATTGCTAAAAATATGCTACGCCCAATCCTCACCTAAATACTTTTCCGCTGTAGACTGGCTAATTTGTAAGCGTTTTTAAACCGATCCTCTAGACTAGAAACAATTTCAACGGTCGGTTTACCCGGTTTTATCTATACTTGGTGTGTCCCCTCTTTATAATAAAATATCCATTAATTTGAAGCTTATATAAAAAAGGCGCCAGTGGTTTAGTGGTAAAATTCACCGTTGCCATCGGTGAGCCCCCGGTTCGATTCCGGGCTGGCGCATTTGTTGCGGTTTTAGCTCAGTTGGGAGAGCGTCAGACTGAAGACAACTTCAGTTTAGTTAATCTGAAGGTCCAGTGTTCGATCCACTGAAACCGCATTTTTTTGCATTTTTCTATAGCGGATAATTGAAGATGGTGCCTGTGTATCCAAATCACGGTTCTTTTTTCTTTTCCAAACATCACTGCTATTGTAAAATTATTTATTTTAGGTGTTCTACTTTGCATAGATCTATCTCATTAAAATCAGCCCATTTAAATTGACCACAGCCGTTTCCGTCTAAATATACATTATTACATGTCCAGAAATATCGACCTCGCTTACTATTACCAAATACGGGTCGTAAAATCATAGTACTGGCACATTTACATTTAGGGATCTGTGCCGGCGAAAACTTATCCAAATAATGCCGGTAGGTAAGGTTGATTCGAATCTGGCCAGAGATTGGATGTGGCGTTAAAGAAGACGCCCCAGACGCGGGCACCAGACTGTGTTTCCACTCATCCTGGCAACGAGCGTGCATGATTATCAGTGAATTGTGAGGTAAATGGATTGAAAAAAGTGGTAGATCCTTACCAGAGTCAGTCATGTTTTTCAGTCGAAACTCGCGCTCACACCCCAAGGAGGCAGATGCAATGATAGGCTGAGGCCCGATATATGTCAACTGATCAGAGTGAAACCCCACTGATTCAGATCCACCCACGTATTTATTGCAAATAGAGGCTTCTGCTAACCATTTAAGCTTAGACTGATAAGGTAGTCGTTGTCTTTTATCAATTTCTTGATTGACTAGTTGCTCAACTAAAACACGAGCTTGCTTCATATACTCATTATAGGGCACTGGGCTATCAAGCACTTTTCCATTATATACATAATCGTACCTGGTGAGAATTCTCTGACTATCGGCATAAAAACATGTAAAATGAGGGCTCTCAACCTCCCGGTCAAACAAAACAAACTTGGATCGCTTCCATTCGTGCGATTCCTGTAAAAGCGAGTTTAAAAGGTTTTCGGCTAATTCAGAGTCCAAGAAGTTCAGATGAAATGAACAGGGTAAAATATCTGGAATCTCGTCTGGTGTATAAATATGAAATGTTTTACCTTTTTCAAAGCGAGGCTTTTTCTTTACAGAGTTAGGGCTCTCACTCTGTTGGTCCGGCTCAAAGAACCGCTTGATGTTGACTTGTTGCTTGACTTCATTACTGAATTTACTAGAAAAATAAGCCTCATATTTATGAATAGGAAAGTCTTCCTCCGCAATAACCTCTTTTGAGCTTGGTTTTAACGTAAATTCACCAATAGTGCGAGCATTTGTCCCATTTATACCGGGCTTATCAACGAGATCTTGCTTGAGAGGCAGATCTTGATAGGAGTTCTTCCTGCTAGGAATATCAATTGATTTTTCCCCTTGTTTAGAAAAGATCTCTTTACGGGATGCTAGAAATACCGAACAATCTTCTTCAATTCCAAGACATCTTAGCGCTTTTTCAGCATCACCATCTGACGCCACTAACAGCTCCAACAAAACAGCTTCTTCGGCACACACATTGAATTCAGAGCACTTAGCCTTTAAATAGGAAACAAGATTTTCAGTATCATTTTCGTCCCCCCTCATTTAAAACTCTGAGCCGCCAATATCAATGTGAACAGCTCAATGAAAATTCTAACCCGCCGGATCGGAGAAAACGACCCCCATATCATGTGACATGGTCAGCGATATATCAAATACGCTCTAGACCAAATATTGCATCAAGCGTTTTTGAGCTTTCACAAACTCGCTATTTTTGATAGTAACAGTGTGTTTAAGCTCTTGTATCACTAAAAAACGAGAACGATACTTTGGAATATGATGCTACCGGCCATATAGTTCCTGTAGAGTTCGACTAGGATCATCGGCCGGTAACTGTATATGCCGCTGAGAATGTAAAAGCTCTTTTGTATTGCCGTTGTCTATTATTTGATAATTTCAGACTCATTTAGTCTAGAGGCTTTATGTGTTTTAATAAGTTATTGTAAAAACACAATTTACCAGATTCTGTGTATATATTTACTATTAATTCCATATTTTAATACCGACTAGGCTTATGTTGAAAAAACGTTATATTTAGACAAAGGAAACCACCCAAAGAAAAGAAATATAAATTCGGTTTGATTAAAATTAAATAATACTAATCTATTTGTATTATGGCGGTACATATATCACAATATATAGGCCCTCTTAGTAGCCCATATGCCTCTGCATCAGCGAATCACCTTTAATTCATTTTTGCACTTTTATTTTGTCCCAGTAAAATCACCACTTTGAAGTTTTCCCAGCCCAATAATATAATACCACTTGATAGCTAATACTAACCCAAAAAATGTCCGGCAGTACAACTATTATTCGTCGAATCATCAGTGCTTTAGAAACACTCCCTAAAGATTCGCTCAAGAGATATGCCTCCTTCAAAGATGTTCAAAAGGAGCGTTTCACTGAGCTCTTAAAAGACACCAATACCGACATAACGTTTTTGCACAATCAACAGAAGTCGTTAGATAACATTCTAAGTAACAAATATAAACAAAAGGTACGTAATACTAGAACCCAGACAGAGTTTCTTTATAATGTATTTATACTAACCCAATCAAATGCTTTTTTTGATCTATTTCAGTTTGCTGTCTCAGAGAAGCTCCGTCATCCTACCAATAATCCCGACTATTACGAAGTTATTTTGAAAGAAATTCATGGTAACCAAAAGAAAAACTCATTCTTTTCATATATGAACTGGATGAGAAAACACAAATAGAGCGCCACCGAAATCCTTAGGTATTACATTCCCCGTTGACGCCTATGCTTGATACTCTGTATTCTGAGTTACCAACGCCCCACTATTTCATGAAACTCCTCTTGCAATTCATTCTTTCATTTTTAATCTTGTCTATATGTATTTAAAATCGATATCCTTTTTATTATATTTCTTTCAAAATATTTTCTTATAAAGTATAATTACAGCCCATCATAAGTAGCTATCATAGTCGACAGGGAAGCTATGCAAAAGTAAATGACACCCAATTACTTTTTGGCATAGTTGATATCAAGTAAATTTCCATCCAAATTTAGGCCAATTGTAGCTTCCTTGGCCTTTACAGCATCTTCATCATTCTCAAAATCAATGAATGCCACTTTTCTGACCCCAACGAATCGAACGTCTTGATACCCAGTGTAAGTTGAGAATAAATCGACAAGTTGATTTTTGGTTGCACTGGCTGGCAAATTTTGAATAAACAAAACTTTATGAGGCGGTAAGTACTCGACTTTTTGAACCCCGGATGCTTCAACTTTAGCCCGACTAGTAGCTGGTTGTCCAGCAGGACCCAAGGGTACTCTAGATTGTGCATTATTCTTACCTTCTTTAACTTGTCGTAGCTCCTTAGCTGCCAAACGTTTCTTCTTATGGAATTCTAATGTTTCCCTACCTTGTTTGGAAACTGTGGCGTCGCTCTTACTTTTAGCGAATTGAACCATTGTGGTTTTGCCATACAATTCCATATTCTGTTTAGCTTCAAATGCTCTTCGGGAGGCATCAATATTGTCAAACACCACAAAAGCCTGACCCCTCATACGAATATTCTTATGAGCAACAACATCTATCACTGAACCAAATTCTGAGAAAATTTTCTTTAAATCAGCCTTCAATTTTGATATATTAATTTTTTCGTTTATGTTTCTAATGTACAGTGTTTCTGAAGCTGATGGCATTGAAGGCTGTATCGTTGATTCATTGGCGGAGAATGACTCTGGTTTCGCCTTTAAAGTAGAATCTGTCAAAGTGGACATAATTAAAAATATGAATAATAAAGGATATGAATGAGATCGATTGTTAGTATGTTGTGTTGACCGGCAGCTTAAAAAGTGATGAGAGTAATCCGGCAAGACTCGAATAACTTCTATAAAAGTCCCAACATAGAATCAGTTGAACGCATCAAGGATTCAACAAAAACAAACTACAACAAAAAAAGATATGGCTGATAACGGCGAAATCGATATTGATTTACTTCTTTCGAAGGAATCATCGGACCTAAATAAAGATAAAGAGATTGAGCGTATATTGAACACATTTCGATTAGATGCTTATTCCGTGCTAGATCTCCAGCCGGGCTGTACGACCAAAGACATCAGATTACAGTATCGTAAAAAGTCTTTACTGATTCATCCAGATAAAACTGCCAATAAACAGGCGCCTGATGCTTTTGATAGGTTAAAAAAAGCTGAAGATGAGTTACAGGATGAAAAAAAACGTGCTTTTTTAGATCAATCATTTTCGGATGCCAGACGACTGTTAATCCAGGAAAAAAAGTGGTCGATTGATGATGAAAGATTGAAAGGAGATGAATTTCTCTCTGAATGGCGAGATAAAACTAGAGATATTTTAGTTGAAAATGAACTAAGGAGGAGAAAACTAGCCAATATTCAGATGGAGGAAGAAGGCAGACAAAAACGGAAAGCTGAGGAAATGGCCGAGGAAAAGAAAAAAAATATTGAAGCAAAGAAATCATGGGAAGAAAATAGAGATATGAGGGTTGGTAAATGGCGAGAATATCAAAAAGTTATATCCAAGAAGAAAAGAAAGAAGACTGATATACTGGGCTAATCATGTTTTTATTCATGTATACAGTATTGCTGAAAGCAGTGTATAGAATTATTGTATACTTCACTCGAATACATCAAAAAACAAATTGTAAACAAAAATAATTGTCTTTTGTAAGTGAAAAAGGAGTTGACCTTTTTTTTGAAATACAAAGGGATTCCTGAAACCAGTATCGACACCCTTGAGACTAGAGGAATTCAAATTAACTTAGAATTAGAGTTTTTGTTACCACTTAACAGAGTTTCCTTCCTAAAAGTGCATTTAACCCCTTAAGTTTTATTTATATTCCCACGCAACTACCGAATATGATTTTTAAATATATCTACATGTCTATATATATATGTCTTACGGCTAGTATGGATCTCAATTACACTTTCATACAAAAGGATGATCGCCGGGGCAACCGATCATGTCAACAATTATAGCCTCACCATAGGATTTACAGGTGGATCCCGTGTGATACTTCACCTAC